CTGCAATAACATGGACTACGTATTAGGATAGTCGTGGTATCAATACTACGTGCAGATGGTTTAACATATATCTTTGTACTTTGAATCTCGCTCGGAGTACGATTCGCCTTGTCTAATTTTTGACTAGTCAGCGTAATGTTGACAGCAAACTATGTTGCCTATTGATTTTTGTTGCTTCCTATATAACGGAAAGCGATTCCCGTGCTTTTTTCGGATCATCGACTAGCGCTTTGTCATGTTTTTTTAATGTGCAGTCGTTATCACACGCGCTCAACTGACACAGTAATTATCTTCAGACAAGATGCAAACCGCTAAGCTATAATGAAGATAATAAGATAATTATTTTGGCTATGAACTCTCTCCAATTCATAAATTACAAGGTATTGAGAATGTAGTCGTAAATATTTCACGAAAATAAATAGTTCCGTAAGTCTTCGACATTGGAGCTGACTACATCAGTTTTACTGGACACATTTTAGCTGAAGTTGCACAGTGACTCATACATACAAGATTACGTGCGGGAACACCGTGCTACTAAACCCTTGCAACTATTAACCAGCCTAAGCCAAATGTTTTTCAACACATCGACAACCTTTCAAATATATCTTCGGACTCAATGATTCCTGACTACTGGTTTGAGTGTGTTGGTATCATTACATTACAAAGGTGTTATGGACAAGAGAGTTGCCTAACGGTGAATATATGCGGCGCCATTAGGTTCATGTTTGGTAGTCAACACCGACAGAATGGAGGACTGAATTATCAAGAGAGAATAGCACTGTATCACATTAAAAAAATAGTCTATTAATGAGCCAAGTATCATTCAAAATAAAGATTTAAAGAAGTTAAAGCAGTTATCCGTTGTGTTTGATTATCCTCTGTTTTTTTCTTGTGGTTCGGAGGTTTATATTCAATATCACGATGTCTGATGAATTGTTGTGACTACAAGAAAAGCCTACAAGGAAATGGCAATAATGCTTAATTTCTTCCCACAAAGTAGTGTGAAAAGTACCCAGATAATGCCGTAAATCGTCATGGATGATGATCTCTTTCGAATGATTGGAGCCTATTAGAGTTATATAGTAATGGTGTGACGAAGCAGCTAATTCCTAAGTCACACTTCGCGGTCGATAACTAACATGGATTACCCCTTCAACGTATCAAAGTACCATAGCTGATTTGAAGACAGTAAAACTTAAAGGACGTTATCACAAGAATAGATTAGTAAAAATGAGTACAGAGAAGTTAGTGAGACCACCACCGCTTGGGCCAGTTCATGGTGTATGACTAACTTTGACAAGGATGGATGATCTGTTCGATATTCAGTGATCCAATTGCCGTATGACTTGACTAGGGCTGAGTGACATTTCACCGCCCCTACAATCCAAAAACTTCTTACTACATAGAATCGTGACTCAATTATAATGTGTTCGCTATATTTTCTGGCAAACTTTGATGTTTGAGCTCCAACGCGCTATTTCATTCCTATGCGGAACATATCGGAGATTCGCACTTTAATGTATCAATACTGAAAGTTAGTATTTCCGTTAATAGTACTATGTTTTACTCTCAGTAGTTCCATACCGTAGGTTTTAGAGAGTAACCAAATTTTATAATTGATATTTTGTAAACGGACAATCTTGAGGTTTCCATGGAAATTGGACCATCCGTTCTTTTTACAGCATTGATATGTATACAAATATACTTGTTAAACCAAATGGACATTCTTTTTTGTTTCGTATTTTACCGTGCATACCTAACAAAAATTTCTGACCACCTGAACTTGTTTATGCCATAACAATACATCAAACTGATTATCATAATAAACCGGCTGTTATATAAGCTAAGGAATGTCGGGATTGGAGGCAATCTATTGATGTGGATAAAAGACTTCCTATTTGGGCGTCAACAAAGAGTAAGGGTGAACTCCAAGTTGTCTATCTGGGAAACTGCTTAGTGGAGTCCCCCAGGGTACAGTTTTGGGGCCAGTGTTATTCCTCCTGTACGTAAATGATCTCCCTCGTCTACTATCGTCATCGGTCTTACTCTATGCTGATGATGTCAAGATATGGAGAGCGATACAAAGCAAGGGCGATAGCTTAGAACTTCAAAATTACCTGGAGAGATTATCTGAATGGTCCCAAACCTGGCAATTGCCGATAAACACTTCCAAGTGTATTGTGATGCATATTGGCCACCAGGGTACAGATACATACACGATGAATAACACTGAGTTATCTACTGTTCAGGCACACAATGACTTAGGCGTCATCGTTAGTCGAGACTTAAAGACTACTGCACACTGAAGTGCAATAGCCGCCAAAGGTTTTAGGACTTTATGGTCCATACGCAGGGCTTTTAGGCATCTTGACGCTAAAACGTTTCTAACTTTGTATACAGTGTTCGTACGCCCTAAACCTGAGCACTGCATACAAGCAGCTAGCCACTGCCTAAAAAAAAGACTAAACTCTTGGAAAGGGTTCAGAGAACAGCAACTAGGCTGATTCCCGGAATAGCGAAGCTCCCGTATGGTACTAGACTGACCAAGCTAAACCTATTCCCGCTGTCATATAGAATAATCAGAGGTGACTTGATTATAGTTTTCAAATTGCTAAATGACAAATTTGCACCTGATATGCCCTCATTTTTCTTGTCTTCCAAAACAGAAAATCTACGAGAACACTCCAAAAAAGCTCACAAGCCCAGAACGAATTACTTGTCAGCTGACTACCGACTTTCCCATCGAATAATCAACGAGTGGAATTCATTACCTCAGCACGTGGTTGAGGCTCCATCCGTCGACTCCTTCAAAAGAAAGTTGGATCAGCTGAGAGACCATCATTGCCAGGACTAACACAGGCCATCAAGCCTCCTGTCCTTTCCAAACTGAAACTGAATCAGTTTAGTGTTATTTAAAGTACTCGTTCTTAAAATTTTTTCGCACATAACACATAACTAACGGTTGATGAAGTACAGATGGACTAGTTTAGTAGGAGTTCTGGCTATGATAATCCTAATGTAATACCACCTAATGAAATACCACCCTTATTCTAGTTTGACAACTATTCACAAAACACTCCCTTAAAACTCAATGTTACGAATATACCACTTGTTGACAGGCATATCTCTTCAAAAATTCCTGCTACCCACCAAAATTCACATGTTGGACTTGTCTTGTTTCTGTTGGTTTATCCTTCCAATCGTACCGGGCCTATCAATTTTCAGATAGATTTGTATGAATCCCTGGAAATTTTATGAGAAAACCACGGATAAATAATGTAGAACTAGTTCAGTTGATTTTGAACCTTTCCGTATCTTCAATGTGACCACCAAGTATAGTCGACCTGTTCGTGCTCTAGCACCAATAAAATCTTATATTAGAACGACTTTCAAAGAAAGAATAAATCCTCCCGAAATATATTTAACACCAATCAAATTTTAACTGTAGTTAGGATCTATAAATCGTAATAGTTTATTTTAAATCTAAAAATACTCTACATCTGACTACCATTTATGACATTTATAAAATTGGATTTGTTAAGAAGGTTTCATAATTTCTCCGAAGATGGTAAATAGTGTGATATTGGTTACCTGATGAAACATAACTTCTCGGCTCGTCATGCCCATATGAAAACGGTAATCCTCTCAATAAGGCACCAAGCTATAATTAAACAGTTGTTATAACTTCATGTCTCATTACTATCGACTGTTTGGTTTATATCTGCACGTGCACGTGAGTCACAAATTCCATCTATTAGTTTTAAAGTTATATCTTTTCGAAGATTTGTGCGAGGTTATTTAGTTCCTGTTTTGTGAATCACTAGAAATCCCCGGATGGTCTCTAACTTTACCCAATATAGGACCCATACTTGTTTACATGAGAGTATATTACCAGCTTGAATTAATGGCTAGCATACCTTGAGTTTCAAAAATGTAGCTTCAAATTACACTTACGACTGAATTACCATTGCTTCTAGCTGCAGTTTGTGATACGCTTGTCCGTTCAGATATCAGGTCGTAACAAATGTTCATTTGCAGCCTGCCGCCTTGAGAATGCGTTCACTATCGCGAGAGAAGCATGAAATTCTTTGAACAAATTTGATTTTATAATGATCATGAATGATGGTGGGATATATAAAATATTTCTAGACCAAGAATAATCTGATTAGATTTACAGATTCTAACTACAGTTAAAGTTTGGTTGGTGTTAAATATATTTAGAGAAGATATATCTTCGAAAGTTGTCTCCATAAATGTGGATTTGTAGACGTTATGATACTTTAATCCGTCGGATATTCTTGGTGGCTTTTTTCGCGAAAAGTTGTGATTTGGAAGGTTAATGACGATGGACCTTGGAAATGTGGTGGAAATTTCCAGGAGTCAGTTGCTCTACTTTATAAAATCTGAATAAATGTTTGGAGGAGCATTTAGGACCCCTGATGTCTGAAAAATATTATAGTCCTTTGTTAAAAGACTCAGTTCCTTTATCTGGATCTAAACATCTATTCGGAAGACATAATTATTCAGAAAAGAAACAATATCATACTTAACTGTTCAAGTAGCAAGATATATTTCACTGTTTATGTGGACTATACGAAATTTAAATCCCATCTCTATGGACTCTCATTCTGAGTCTAATGTCTCCATTTCGACTCACCTCTTAATTGTCAGTCGTTTAAATGGTTTTGTGGTTTGCATGTATTTTTTTTAATGTTTCGTTGTTGATCAAAGTTTAAGATAAATATTATTTTGCACTTGTCAATATGGTTTGTCTTTTATGTTGTACAGATGTTAGGGGTTGACTATCCCTAAATCGGAACATCCTTATGATTCGGTATAAATACATTTCTGTGCTTAAGGTAACGATTCACTTGTTTTCTTGTTGTTAAAGGTCACTATACTAGCCAAGTGGGCTTACTTCCATGCCCACACAGTGAACATCAAAGTACTGCAAAATAAATCAGGATTTGGATACTTGGTTTCAGTTTCCAGCCACTGCAATGGACATTTCCAACAGTATTCGGGGTGTATTCATTCGAATCTTCTTGGCTTTCCTTATACTGTCTGTCATTATGAAAGTTGTCAAGGAAAAACTGTATGTTTCATATTTTTGTAAAATAATCTCTCTTTAAAATATAGCATCTTATGGTTGTATGGCCAAAATGCTGATTCGGGAATGTCTGTATTAACAAGAGGATATATGATCTCTGATGTATCAACAAAACGATTGGGCAATAGTTCTGTGATAACTAGCTTTCAGCCGTCTAGCAGTAATATGTCTGGTGAGAGTTGATTTATATTTGACTGACAAATTTAGGTGATCCGATCCGAGTAACTGTTTCTAGCATTAAGGCTGTCGAGCTTTGTGTCTTACGTGATGTCTCATTGTCTACTTTCCATGCTATATTGACTAGTGACCACAAAAATCTTAGAGATTACATTGTTACCAACGCTACCGAAAAACATACAGTAAAGTAAGTCCTTGTTGTTTATGCCAATCTGATCTTAGACCTGGAATTCAAGACATATCCATACATGTGAACGTTCATTCTTGCCCTGATCACACGAAACGGGATAAATATTCAGTTGTTATTGGTCTAGTTTCAAGTACTCCAGATTCACTGGTTGAAGAAATAGTAAGTTTAAAAATTCGAATGTAAACTCTATAGGGCTTAACAGATGAACTAATATTTACTAAAGCTTATTTGCAGTAACTGTACTGCGAAAATGCTTGCTTTGAACAGTTGTTTGTTCAGATAGTGTTTTTTTAAAATAGAAATGTTTTTCCTGTTTCAGAAATACATAATGATTAATGTTCAACTTATTACTATCAACATTATGGACATCACCTAAAATTACAATGTGTACCCAAATACGATAGATTGGTGCTATTGTTTTCCGGATAGATTTATTTATAGTAGTCTTTATTTCATCCCAGTTTGTTGGTCGGTAACTCATGTTGACGTGAGACCAGCAGCTGTTTACTACTAGTCAAACAATACTGTACTTCTAATTATCTAGCTACTCATAAACCTGATCTACTCTTTGTGAAACCATTACTAATTACTGTCCCAGGTTAGCTTCATCATATCTAAGCTAGCTTCCCTTTCCCACTCCGAAATTTCGTTCAACACCAACCCATCAGGGGCTGGTGAGACCTCTAAGATACGTGGTTGACACACGGAATTACTTCGCTCCCTATCATTAGCTTAGGTGCTGACACAGACTAGTCCTACGGTTCTTGTTATTGTTCCAATATAATCCGTAAAGGTGAGGAACTATGTTCACCAATGTCTTTATTTGACAGTTTTAGATTAGAGAAAACAACGGTTGGTGTATGTGGAGGATCCACCTAGGGGAGTTGGAAAACCCTTATTCCAAACCAATGGTGCACATGGGCTCCAGCATCCTGAGGGAACGAATGGCGTATGAACCAACTGTTGGTCACCGGCTACCATGGGATTGCATCACCTTACGATGCTCCACTGCCTTGTGGACTAGACCTTTAGGTTAAAGGCTCCGGGTGTGGCCGTGTGAGAAAACCACCTGCTTCAGTCTGGGCACCTGGGCAGTATCTCAGCCCTCACACAAATCAAATGAGATTTGTGAGGCGCATATTTATCTGGTGCTTCCTTGTACCAATATTCATGTGTTTAAATAAATAAATAATAGGAACTATGTCTATGAACAAATATAAATTTTTGTTTAAGTTGGGCTGGCATATGCAGATTATCTGTCGTAGAGAATAAAAAAGTCCTGTGGCACAGACTAGATCAGTGGGATATAAACTTTCTTTGAACCTCAACTATCATAGAATTCCTCCTAACGTTGCTCCACTGCCTTTAGAATTAAACTTCCTAATAAAACGTTTAAGGGGTCCCTTAAGAAAACAACTATCTCAGTTTAGTCACTTGAACACTACTGAAGTTGTAAGAAAATTCATGACATTTGCCAATGAAGAAAACCCGAAATTATGAATCGGATTTTCAAAAAGAAGTCAAACGTCCTGGTAGTCATTTTATACATCTATCATTCTTACCTATTCATGTCAACTTAATGATATCAAACAATTATATATGGTTAAATAACAAACTATTTTATATTTCGAACGTTCTGTCAGTTATAAAATCATACATTTTAGTTTTATTATTGTAAATTAAAATTATACTTCATACACAAAGTTCTTTTTTATTAACTTGAAAGGAGTAGAGGCAAAGATTTGGTCAGAATATAAAACGAATTCATTTTGTTTAGTTAATTTCTCGCCCTCAAGTGCCCTGGTACGGCCGAGAGTGGGGAGAGTCCGCTCTCCTTCTCCAAATGCTCCCATATGGCCACGCGTATACAGCCTCTGACAGGGAAGTCCTACTCACTGCGTTCTCATGGCGGGGATGTTGTTTACGAAATTGAGAGGACAAAAAGCGAATGTCCGGTGCTCTAACCGGGTTGGTGGACACGGAAAGTTCGCCTAGAGGGGTTGGAAAACCCTGATTCCAAACCAATAGTGCTTAGGGCTGGCTCCCGTATCCTGAAGAAACAAATAGCGTATGAACCAATCGTTGGTCACCGGCTGTCATGGGACTGCATCTCCCGAGGATGCTTCACTGCCTTGTGGATCAGACCTTTAATTTGCAGTCTCCGGGTGTGGCCCTGTGAGGAAACCACCTGTTTCGGTCTGGGCACCTGGGCAGTATCATAGTCCTCACTTAATTAAACGAAATGACAATTTTTTGTGTGGCGCATATATATCTTGTACCCTCTTGTACCAATATTTATGTGTTCAAATAATAGTAATAAGTTAGTTTCTCATGGGATGCTTAAAACCTGTGATATTTTAAAATTAGATTACACATGGAGGCTTATATACATGATTTATATAGCAGACGCTGTTATTGATGTTCCGGAGTTAACTGGCTGGGCTAGGCAGAAAGCAGGACTGATAAGTACTCAAGAGTGCTCATACGCTTTTTGGTGTATCATTGCTCTGATTGATAATTCACTCATTTCTAATTGGCAGTCTTAGCACGTTCATATATTAAGCATGGCACATAGGCACTCGATATAACAATAATAATGTAATAAAATGAAGATATTGTTAACATGGTAAGGAAAGGTTTGTTATTTTAGTTGTAAGGACATAAATTCATTTTGAGGCATCTGATTGCTACAAATTTGAGAAGACTAGAGTTCAATTTATCTATTAATTACTTTGTAAGATTAATCCCATTTGATCGTTTCAGAATATCACATGCTACATAATTCATGTAAAGATTCGAGAAGAAGAACATGTGAATACAAGTATTATGTATACATACTGGAAAACCACATGGAATCGTCTTCTAACTCCACAGGTGAGTGAAACTATATTAATGTTTTCATATTTATTCAGTCAAATCAAATCAAATATATTGCATAGATTGACTTAAGTGAGCAAAGTTTTGGTCCATTTTCAAAGCTGTGCAAATTTACTTTTTTTTTTCTTCAAAATTACCACAAAATGTCTGTCAGTAATGATGATGATAATAATAATAGTATTAATAAGTTTTCTAAACATTGTTTATTCATTTATTTATTCATTTGAACACATAAATATTGATACAAAGGGGTACCAGATATAAATGCGCTATAAAAATCTCATTTGATTTGTGTGAGGGTTGTGATACTGTCTGGAACAGGTGATTTTCTTAGGGGGGGGCCACACTCGGAGTGGAGCATCGTAAGGAGATGCAATCCCATGGTAGCCAATCACCAACGATTGATTCATACTGCGTTTGTTTCCTTAAGATACTGGAGCCAGTCCATGTGCACTATCGGTTTGGAATCAGGGTTATCCAATTTCCCTAGGTAAACTTTCCGTGTTTATTAATCCGGTTAGAGCACCGGACATTCGCTTTCCGTCCTCTAAATCTCGTAAACAACAGTAATGCCACTATAAGACAGTGAATAGGACTTCCCTGACAGAGGCTATATACATGTGGCCATGTCAGAGCATTTCGAGAGGGAAAGCGGACTCTCCCTACTCTCGGCCATATCAGGGCATTTGGGGACACTGCTTTAATATAAACATTTAGATAGAGTAATCATCATTATATCTCGATTAAGGTACTTTATACTTCTTGCTTTGATCAACAGTTTTTTTTAAACAACTCAGATAAACAGTGAACTTTCAGAAGGGGTTTTGTGGAGATTTCAGTATTTTCATAGTTGAAAGAGTGAGTCAATTGAAGCTAGACCACCATGGAAAACCTGAAAACACTGGACGGCCTATTATGGGACTCCTCAGCAGTGCGCATCCACGATTAGTTGAAGTTAGACATTAACACCGTTGAATGCCGGCTCAGTGGTCTATCGGTTAAGGGCTCTGGCTCAGGACTGGTAGGTCCTGGGTTCGAATCCTGTGAGGCACCATCGTGAATGCGCACTTCTGAGGAGTCTCATAATAGGACGAAACGGACTTCCAGTGCTTCCAGGTTTTCCATGGTGATCTAGCTTCAATTGACTTACGCTTTCAACTATGAAAACAGTGAACTGTTAACCTTTTCGTAATGTCTCATTGTAAATTATAAAATACTATGTCACTGTTCTGTTTTTTTCCCAAACAGATTCTTTTTGATGCTGGTGATAATGTCAACTCAATTAATGAGACTACTATTTTACCCATGAAAACAATTACATCATATACAAATAATAATGAAATTAGTCGAACATGGAGACCATGTTGTTTTATTTGTCTTTCTTCAGAAACTATATCTAATCTACGTGTTTTATTACCATGTCGACATGCAGCTATTTGTTCTGATTGTTTTCAATCATTACATAAATCCGCAATGTTTACAATCAATCATCATTTAATTGGTTTAATTACTTGTCCAATATGTCGTACACCAGTAAATTCAACATTATTATTACCTAGAACTAATTATGATGAATTCAATAATGAAGTCAATCATACTACTGATGAAGATGGTGTCACTACTACTAATAATATTACTGAAATCCCTTTATGATAACAAAAAAAAAAGAAAATATGATTAGAAATAGGAAAATTTATTTTCATACTACCCTGTAATGAATTCTTTATAATGTAAAATGATATTTTAGTAATCTTATTGTTTTTGTCTTCATTTTATTGATATTGTTAATGATAGTTTCTTCAAAATGTTTATTATGTTCCTATTCATGTGAATTTTTTGTGTGCCCTCAAATGCCCTGGTACAACTGAGAGTGGTATAGAGTCCGCTTTCCCTCTTCAAATGCTCTCAAATGGTCACGCATATATAGCCTCTGCCAGTGAAGTCCTACTCACTGCCTTCTCGTGGCGGGGATGTTGTTCATGAAATTGAGAGGACGAAAAACAAATGTCAGGCACTTCAACCGAGTTGGTTGACATGGAAAGTTCACTTAGGGGAGTTAGAAAACCCTGATTCCAAACCGATGGTGCACATGGGCTGGCTCCGTGATCTTGAGGGAACAAATGGCTTATGAATCAATCGTTGGCAATCGGCTATCATGGGACTGCATCTCCTTACGATGCCCCACTGCCTTATGGATCAGACCTTTAGGTCAAAGGTTTGGGATGTGGCCCTGTGAGAAAACCACCTGTTTCGGTTTGGGCACAAGGGTAGTATCACACAAATCAGATAAGATTTGTGTGGCGCATATATATCTGGTACCTGTTTGTACCAATATTTATGTATTTGAATAAATAAAATAAAATTTATTTACATTATCCAAGTTAACATACGTATAGGTCCGAAAAACTTTTAAAATAGCCGGTTTAATACACATGATGTCAATCCATGAACACAATAATTGATTTGACTAGTAATCTCCATACTGAGGCCTAAATAGTTGTGATCTATGCTTAAAGACTGGTTCGTAATTACTGATACTGATGCATGTTGGTCCTTTATTCACAACGTGATTTCACCCATAACTTCTGACTTCTAGTTTTTTAGTATCCTTCTCTTTAATTCTTTGGTTTTCCTCCATCATGAAATGTGGTAGGGTTATTTCCCAGAACGGCTGTTCTATTCTTAGTGCATAAAACTAGTCTCTTCATATGGTAATTAAGCGTGTTATTAAAGTCATTCCGCTTATGTTGAATATTTACAAACAATGTTTCTTTCGAAAGTGAGAGGACGAAGAGCGAATGTCCGGCGCTTTAACCGCGTTGGTGGACACGGAGGGTCCACCTAGGGGAGTTGGAAAACCCTGATTCCAAACCGAAGGTGCACATGGGCTGGCTCCAGTATCCTGATGGAACGAATGGCGGACGAACCTGTCATTGGTCAACGGCTACGATGGGACTGCATCTCCCGAGGATGTTCCACTGCCTTGTGGATCAGACCTTTTGGTCAAAGGCTCCGGGTGTGGCCCCCTAGGTGAACCACCTGTTTCGGTTTGGGCACCCAGGCAGTATCACAGCCCACACACACAAATAGTGTGGCGCATATGTACCTGGTGCCCTTTTGTACCAATATATATGTGTTTAAATAAATAAATTAATAACGTACATCAGTTCGAGTTGCCATACCACATTAGCACAGAGATGCAGTTGTCGATTCAAATCCCATAGTGGTAGAAGTAGTAGGATTATAATCAGAAATCCAAAAGATTGAAGAAATTATTGAAGGAGTATAGTACAGTGAAATAAATTTGAAAAGAGAAAAAGATAAAGACATGAGGAATTCAGAAGATTAGAATTTGTTAGAACACAAAGAGTGTATGCACCTTCGCCATTGCAAACGATTTTGAGCCATGTCATTCAAGGTCTCTAACCATCGGTTGCTATCATCTCGCGAATCCCAACCAGGTAGTCTACACCTACCAACATGACTCAGTCCACTTGTCAGCGACTTCATGGATTCATGCCATGTTTTGGTCTGGCCACCCCTAGCTTTCTTCCAACCTACTCCTACACCATGAAACATTGCACGTCGGGGCAGTCGGTGGTTGGGCATACGTAACACATGTCCCATCCATCTCAACTGATGATGTTTCACTACTTCATCAATTGATTTGCCATCCCTACCTAGTACTCGTTTCCTAACAACTGCATTACTTACCCGGTGGTCCCAGGATATACGAGCAATGCTTCGAAGACACCTATGATCGAACACTAGTAGCCTACGAATATCCTCTACTCCTATCGGCCATGTTTCACTGCCATAAAGTAGGACGGAACAGTAAACTCGTCCTTTTGTTGCTAGATGGACATCTCGCCTACACCATAAATGACGCAAGTTGGCGAAAGCTAGACGAGCCTTCTGTATCCGTGCTGAGATTCCGTCACACACCAGACCACAAGGGCTGATGAAACTCCCAAGATAAGTGAAGTGGTCTACACGCTCAACTACTTCACTCCCTATCATTAGTTCAGGTGTCCATGCAACCCAACCCTGAAGTAACATTTTGCACTTCGAGGGGGAGAGTCGCATCCCGAACATGCCTGCATAGTTGCTTATAGTGGTCAGAAGACTCTGCATGTTGTCAGCGTCTTCACCGAGTAAAACTATGTCGTCGGCGTATTCTGAGTCAACAAGTGAGCCTCCCGGTAAAAGTTCAACTCCTGGGGGTTTAGCTGATGAAAGTGCTATCTCTAAAAGTATGTCAATGACAAAGTTAAACAAGAATGGGGAGAGTGGACAGCCCTGACGAACACCACTTGATGTAACCAATTCTGATGACAGTTCGCCATAGGCTCTAACTCGACCAGTTGTGTTCGAGTAGAGAGCCTTTATGAGGTTAATGTACTTCTTTGGTACTCCTTTCAGTGACAAACACTGCCATAGATCCTCGCTATCAACGGAGTCAAATGCCGCCTTAAGGTCAAGAAAAACTACTATTGTGGGACGTCTGAATGTATGTCTATGTTCTAGGACCTGACGTAGAGTGAATATCTGGTCTATGCAACCACGTCCAGGTCGAAAACCAGCCTGGTTTTCTTTAGTCTGCTCTTCACGAGCTTTGGTTAGGCGTCGAAGTATTACTGAAGCTAATATTTTAGACTTCATATTAGTCGAACTGATCCCTCTGTGATTGTCACAGGAGGACTTTTGTCCTTTCTTATAGACTGGCACAATCAGTGATTGGGACCAGTCAGATGGAATTACGTCCAGTTCCCAGATTCTACCTAAGACCTCAGTCAATCTCGTTGCTAGTACTGAACCACCATCCTTAAAAATCTCAGGGGTCAACCTGTCAGGGCCTGCTGCTCTCCCTCGCTTCAGATTTCCTATAGCTTTTTCAACCTCGCAGAGGGTTGGAGGACTTACATCAATTTGCCATTCAGGACGACTGGGGATCGTGGGTAATTGAAGTGTGGCTGAAGGCCAGTTGAACTGATCCCTAAAGTGTTCTGCCCATCGATCCAATCTCCTGGATTGAGAATGAACGATATGTCCGTCTTTGTCTGAGATAGTTTCGCTAATAGTTGGGTTCCTAATACCGGTTTCTATAACAAGTCTGAATAACCGTCTACTGTTACCTATTGCCGCTGCCTTTTCCATCTCACTTGCTTTCGCTACCCACCACTGTTCACGTTCATTACGTAGGCTTCTTATAAGCCTGCGCTTTAGGTGATTCCGCTCTTCGTTATGTTCAGAGCCAGGTGGGATGAGTTTTCAAGCATCTATCAGTGCGGTAGATGCTGCCGAGATCCATTGTTTCTCCCTAACCTTATGGTTTACCTTACTAGCGGATTTCACTGCTGTTTCCACAGCTTTTCGGATGTCATTCCACGCTGCCTCGGGGTGGGCATAACTTACATGTCTGCCTAACTGTTTTTCCAGTTGTTCCTGTTTTTCCTTATGCTTAAAGTTAGTATTTGCAAGAAATAGGCGGTTATCTGAGCATAGCTGCAACAGACGGTCGCCATTATCTGTCCTTTTAGCCACGACACCGTAAGGTCCTCCCAGGTATCTTTCCCTTTCACTTAGTTTACCTACTTGAGCATTAAAGTCACCTGCTACTATTACTAAATCAGAACGCCTAGCTTTTCGGAGGTCAGAAAGTTTCCTGTAGAACTCATCTTTTATATCGTCTGAGCTGCAGTCAGTGGGAGAGTAGGCAGAGATGATGAGGAGGCAACGACGAGTTTCCCTATCTTTCTGAGTCCTTACTGATCGGTTTAGTTGGACAGCGCATAGACGACTGTCTACTGGGATCCAGTCTAAAAGAGCTAGTTCTGCCCTACGACTTAATGCTATACCTACTCCAGCGAGGCCACGGGAAGCAGCATCAGGGCTTCCAGATACACGAAGCGTGTATCGAGATGAATCTTTATTTTGATTAGGTGCGGTCAAATGAATGACACTACTCGGATCTTGTATGCGCGTTTCGGAGACGCAGCACACATCGATGGTGTAAGATTCTAGAGTCCTAGCTAAAGAAGCCTGTTGTCCTATTTGGCACAATGTTCAGACATTAAAAGTTCCTATATGTAGTTTAGAGCGTGGTTTCAGGAGACCAGGAATAACGTTCTGTGTACTTGAATAGTTTGCCCTAGTGGTGCGAGGTGATAAAAGGACGTGGTAAGGGTTAGTCGTGGAGATAACAGAGTTATTAGGTGTAGGAAGGATTTGAAAGTGACCAACTTGGTCTTGTGTGCAGTTAAGGGTATGAGGGCTAGTATCACTTTCCGGCTGCCCACACCGTGGAAGGGTATTTCTTGAGGGACCTGAAAAAGAAGTTGGATTAGTGTTGGTCTTAACGACCTGGTAGCGTGACCGCAGTGCCTAAGGGACAGCTGCTTAAGGCCGGTCACGCACGGCCTTTTTGTGGGGGATTTTTGACGTGTTAGCTCCGTTCTTCAAAAGTCCTTACCGCCGGAGACAGAAATCCGTGGGATAAGGAAAGGTGTGCTTTTTTAGGGTCGACCTTTTCTAACCGCACCCCTCCTTGTGGGAAGGCAGCATCGCTGTCATGCTGGTTGTCTGAAGGAAACACCTTACTGCTGTCACACCTCTGTACAGTCAGCAGTACGACTTCGCCTTCGGACCTTGGG